AAGTTATTAAAATCATATTCTACTATGGATGTATGCACCACCTTCTGCTTCTCTTTTTAAATTATACTCTGTCTCCTATCTGTAACAATAATAGGGTTCATAATAGGCTCAACTACCATGGGCTTATCTTATTCTACATGTTTCTTATGCTAAGTCATAAATTCGAAGCCTACACTAGGAATAATCAGACCCACATCTTTTTTTTCCTTGTAGTTCATATTGTTGTGATGCAACAAAAATATCCTTATCAACCCCCTCTTATACCACAAATGTATTAGATTTATTACCCTGATACAACTCCTTTTAATTTCACTCCCTTATCATTTTTTGGTTTCCTAAATTTGGCAACTGTTAGCCAGTTACCATGAATTTTGCTTTCGATACCTAGACTAATAACCTAAATCGTGGAGCTATTATCATTGTCCATATCTCCTTTGGCCACATAACTGCTGCAAATTAAATGTAAACCCTCATACTCCACCTTGTATAGATTATCTTTGATCCATAATCTTTCCATTATGGGTTGATTAAGATCAATTTCAATGCAAATACAAGCAAAACACCCTTATTCAATATTTAATGTATGCATGTCAACCTTAATAGCTTTGCCTTAGCCAAAGACATGGCCATGAGGAAGTTCTTGTCATAAAACACTAGATTAAGACTTAATCTATTGATTTTTGTTGTAGAGGATATGAACTCTAATGACCAATTACACACCGCAAGGTAATGATAAAAAAGCAATCAATGCCCTTCATCAATTACTTTTGCTCTATCATCTGCAAAATCAAATTTGACCATGAAAAAGCCATTATCAACGTATATAAGCTTAAAACCTCTATTCAATTTCCATACCCCTTTCAATTTCTTTCTTAACTAACAGTAACCAATTTTCTTGCCAAAAATTTTAGCAATCAGAGAGTTACACCAATAGTAACACAAATCTCAAAAGACTAAATCATCAATATAAACCTTTGGTAATAAATGATTTTCATTATCATACTCAATACAGATAAGATTGTTGTTAATGAGATTAACCCTTTCTCTCATAGGTGGAGGAGTTTCAATATCTAGCACCTTATCTCTAAAGGAGAATTTTTCTTGTCCTGATGAAGATTCAAATCCATTCATTATATTAAATGGTTTCATGGGAATGGATCTCATCCCAACTAAAGTATTGCGAACTCTAAGTTAATTTTCTCCTTAAATTATGTGTAGAGATTTATAATAGACTAAAATAGGAAGGTATTTTTAAAAGTTTTGAAGATGAAAAGATTATATATAAATTGATTAACTTGTATCTAGTTAAGCATGAAATAAAATATAAATTAAGTTCTAGATTATAAATTAACAAGTTAATCTTTAGGACTAGACTTAATTCAATAAAAAAAAAACAATTTTTAGTTTTGGTTGTATTAGACCAAGACTCAATTTTTAAATCGGTTTTCTATTTAACCTATCTAGACTCTAATTTAGTCTTGACAAATCAATTAAGTAGAGGACAATTTACTTTTAATCATAAAAAGTTATTTAATTAAAAGGTAAAAAGATATTTAATTAAAAAGTTTTTTAAAGTGTAGTAATGATTATTTTTTAAAATAATTTTTATTTGAATATATATCAAAATAATATATTTTTTTTATTTTAAAAAAATATTTTTGGTTTCATCACATTAAAATATTTTTTTAAAAATAATAATTTTTTAAAAATATTTTTAAAATAAAAAAACAAACAGGGTACAATAAAATACAATGATGAAGTTAGTGTTGTTGAAAAGTGTTTTAGACGGCTAATCTAGTGAATTAATTAAGGAAGACTATGATGGCATTAGACTAGAACCATCATTCAAGTACGTCGTTAGGTGAGATGTCGATGCTTTATGGAAGGATGATAATAATTTTAACTGATAAATGAGCGAATCTTACACGTTTTTCTCCTTGTATTAGTTTGGTACGACAGCAAGGATATAATAACTTCAAGTTACAGATATTATTTCTCATTCTTCAGAGTAATTTTTGAACTGATTCTAACCTTAAAAAATATTAAATTGATATTTTTATATAATTCTTAATTGTTTAAATTTACTAATATTAAAAATAAAAAATACTATTTTAATATATTTTTAACTAAAAAGCACAAGAAAGTTTTGTGTTTTTTACTCGGGAGAGATGTTGATTGCAGCGCTGGAGCACCACGACATGGTCAAATGGATTCTAAATTCCGATCGAATATCAGAGTGAAAGAAATAGAACCACTAGCCTCAAGAAGGTTAAAATGTTTCAGGCGAAGTGTTGATATCGAAACTTTGATTAAATCGGCCTGGTTCAGGTAATTATAACCAGAGGGATGGAGGGAGAGAGGTTGTGGGCCCTGCAACAATAATATCTCCGTAATGTCTAAGCCTCTCGCTGTAGGGTTCCCATCCACCGGAGGTTATCTATTTGCTCTTTGTTTGTGTACCTTGCCATCCATCAAGGAAAGGAAAACGTCCATCATTCTTCTACTCTTGTCTGTTTGTGATCTTTAATTCTATCGCTGAACCTTGTCCTTTATTCATATATCTCTATGTTCTAGCAGCACATCCTCTTCTTCTTCAATTTTGGCCTTTGGTGGCCCTCCACTCTGTTCTCTCCCGGCAAAAGGTTCAAGAAGCTAGCAAGCCACATGATCCATTGTATGGTTTCTTATATACGCAAGTTAAGTTTGACAATGTATTTGAACCGTATTCGAAATGCTTTTTTAAGGCATGACCACCCACCCCCATCATCGATGGAAATAACAAAAACTTACATAAAAGAAGAGAACATACAGAGAGATGGAGACCATCCTAATGGAAGAAAGGAGGAAAGCATTACCATTTACCATTTTATCATGCTAAAATAATCTTGTCTTGTCAAATGAAAGCCCGGACAAGCTAGTACTGCATAGGATAAAAATCAACCGAGTATATGATGATTGACAATGAACCTAGCTAAGTGAGAACTACTTTTCAAATTCAAAGCTATGCTAATTGATTTGAGCCACGAATGAAGAACGAGCATCACCCACCCCACCATCTAGAGGATGATGGGTAAGCATGAGGTGTTCATTCATTGCCAAACCATATTACTATATATCTCCATTTCATTTAGAATCTTGGATATGATAATTATAGATCCCATAATTGTAATAAAACGTCAACTTTCATGTATACTTTGTTCTTAAAATATGAAACAGTTCCAAGCAAACACAAAAGGCCAAAAGTGTTTGAGAGTTGCATTTACATAATAATTCTTTAAAAGGAATAGATCGTGTATCTGATTAATGGTTATAAATTATGAAATGAATATTTTGTATTGCTTGACCTAGGTTGTGTATGTGAATGGTTACAAATTACAAAATGAATATTTTGTGACCTAAGTTGTAATTTCTGTATGCATTGTGGTCAAAACAGTTTGTTAAAAATTAGAATTTTTTTTTTTTGCTTAAAATTAGTTGTTTTTTAGTAATTTTTTATCATTTTGATTTGTTAATGTAAAAAATAAAAATATATATATTATTTTAATATATTTTCAAATAAAAATATTTTAAAAATTAACCACTATCACTGATACCTCAAAAAAAAATAGAATAAAAACCATGATTTTCTAGAAAATTGAAAAGAATAAAGTTTCCTTGAATCCTTGCAACTCAAAAGAAGAAGAAAAAAAAACAAATCAAGAATTTATTCTAGGAAACAAATTAGGATTCTTCCTCCTCTCCGTGCGTGAGGGAGCTGTCATCTCTCTTCTCTATTTTATTATAAGCTTTTTGAAGCCACCAACAGGCAAACTGGAAGAATTATACCACCAACTCAATCACAGAGGTCCAATTGGGAAGATTCATACATGCCTTACGTTTTCATTATTGTAAAAATGTCACTTTTGGAGGAGGATATTTGGAGACATGAACAATACGAGCATTAGAAAGGCTCAAAGCCACGTCCAGCATGCATCTCCCTTGGCCCCCCTATTATTTAATTTCTAAAATACATGGCAACAAGCTAAAGACCACCACGAATCTAAAAATTTAATCGAAGTATTGCCAAGACATGAGCCCCAAATGCGCGATTTTTTTTAACATACATACGACACTACCCATGTTTGTCTTTTTTTCACATAAATAACAACGTTTTCTGACATCAGGTCAAAGGAAGCCATCTTCGTCATAATCAGATGACAAAAGTGTTCCATGTAAGACAAAGATCCATCCACTTGCGACAACGTGGAAGGCCACGGAGGCCAGCCACATCTCCAGAATGAGCAGATATTTTGTAGTGAACCAGAAAAGAATTTACCAAGTGTGCTAGAGTTGAGACATCTAACTACCACAAGCACAAACCCACCGGGCTGTCCAAATCTGTTCCAATCGCAATTTAGTCCATTGCCTTTTGCCACTTCATCTCCATAATAGGCATACACTGGAGGCAACTTGCCAGGTCCTGCTCGCTAGAAACTCCAGATTTGATTTCTCTTTGAATTGCGGCAACAAGTTCCCACTCTCACCAAACTTACAATAGCGACAACGAAAACGACATGTTTTTGTAGATCTGAACTTCCTTCACTCTCCTTTGGAGTGTTATATGGAGATACAGCAACAAAATGCCAATTCAAAAACTGTAAAGCTGTAAATCAACCCCACCACCCTAAAAAACATCTGATATGATGAAAACTAGCAAGCAAGCTAAGAAAATGATCCACAAGCCAAATGCCATTACTACCTGTATTGCTTACTGTGCAAACATAAGAATTTCTTGGTAGGCCACAATTTACAGCTCCTCATTTCACACTGGCACTGATAGGCTAACTATAAACATCTCTCACAGGTTCTTGGAACCCAGATAAGCACAAGTAGTTGCAACATGAGATCTCATGAAACATCAGGAGACTCAGAAAAACGAACAAAATCATTATCACAAGGCTAAAAACATCCAGGAGGACCAAGACTTGAGAAACAGTGAGTGAATTTGCACTGTCAAGTTATTTTAGGTCTGTAACTGTGACTACGATGATTTTATTTTTTTTATTTCTATTCAAGTAGTATAAGCAACAGTCAGATGTCAAGTATGATACAGAATGCTAGAATGAACAATTGCGGTGATTTGCTTCTGTGTTTTCAAAAATGGATCCTAACCTCACATTTGGTATTTAATAAATATTCGCCTAGCCAAAATTCCCACATGGGCTCCTATAAAACAGGGACAGTTCCGTTTGGTTGCTGCATGGTTCCAAGAGATTGACCTACAAAAACAGAGTTGTCAACTGAACAGGGAGAAAAGGAATATAACCATGCATTGGACAAAGGAAGTATCATTCTGATGATGATGGTAACAAAATCAAAAAATATTAAACATTGAAAATGATAATTCATATAACTTAAAAAACAGTTGCAGCTTTAATGCAGTAATCGTTCAGTCAACAAATGCCAGCTACTAGGTAATAAGCTCAATTATGATTAGCATTTTTAAAAAAGTTATCTGTAACTTTCCATTTTACTAACTGAGATCATGCCTAGTGTTAGTAGCTGATTCAAAAATATGGAGCTTGCAGGTAACGGTAGAAGAAATTAGTAGACTACCTGAGTTGCCTGCAAAAGAATAGGGCTTTGAAAGATATTTGCTTCCGAGCATTCCAACTGAAGCAGTCTGGGGCCTTAGAATGTTATCAACAGGAAACTGATTTGAGAAGTTAGTCAATGGTGGACATCCTCCTGAATTATCCAGGCACATCTCTGAACTTTGTGCACGAATTTCATCAGGTTCATGCACAGAAGGATCTCCCTGCCTTACAAAGATTAAGTCAGTAGCTTCTAATTAAATAATTTATGTACAGCAGCAGCACTGTGAGCAGAATTTAAAAAAAATATATAAGATGGGCATGCACTAAAGATATGGAAGTTTATATAAAAGTCAAAGAAGGAAAACTTCCAGAGGGTGTAATTTGATGCATCGGGAAGCAAAATGAATTTCCTGAACATGAAAGTTCTAGCACAACACCACAGGTTCACTTGGTATAACTTGCCATTCAGTACAACACTAGATGTAAAAATTAACATGCTGATTTCAACAATTCAGAAGACAACTGTACGATGAGAGCTGGCAAGGAACTAAGATTTTTAAGAAAAGACACTTTGCAACAGCCAAATGGAAGTTAAGCCACCAATAGTAACAATAGGTACAAACCTTTTCATTGATCAGGTCATTTGTTTGTGCATCTAAAGAACCCTTCTGAGATGAAGCCAGTAGTTGCATTAAGCTTTCCTGTGATAATTCTGAATTCACCATGTTCAGTCCCTCAGCAGATGTGGCATGGTACAGATAAGCAACTGCTGACCGTAGACGAGAGTTCCTTTGAGAGTAATAAACTTTGGTAGCAAGGGGAGCAGGAATATCTGATTTAATACAACAGATCATTATATAATATCGAGAAAGCAGAGAACATCCAAAGTCAAGAATCAACACAGGAATATCTGATTTAATACAACAGGTCATTATATAATATCCAGAAAGCAGAGAACATCCAAAGTCAAGAATCAAAAAGGGCTCAGACAACTTCACAGATAAGCCACAGAGAAGATGGTCACTAAATGCAACATAATCATTAGGCATGTCACATCCTGAATTTGAATGTGCTTGAAAATCTCTCCATGGACAATAGATGAAAAACAAATCTTCATAAGTACAACATGTATTCAGTAGCAGCACAAGCACCCATGTTCATTTCATCTCAGTTGAGCTATGAATATCTAAGTGAATGCATGATTATTGTTGATGGCATGATGGAAATAATAAAAACTGTTTCAAATTTCAATGAACTAGAGTTTCCACCTATTGCACACTCCATTTTTCTGGTTGTAATTGAATGTTGAAAAGATTTAAGATTCTTTATTTCCTTCTGTTCTACTCCTTTTCCTCTGATGCAACATCCAACTTTTCTAATATATGTATATGGTACCCAAATGAAAATCCAACACCATGTTTTCCTGAAATGAAATTCGTATATACTGCGATTATGGACTAGCTTGCCAGATATCTTTGATAAAGAGAATGTAAACTCCACATGGATGGAGAACAGCAAGCATGTGACAAATCAGTAACTAGAGGGCAAGGAAGGTGCAAAAGTCAAGAAACCCACTTTTAAGTTTTCTTTCAAAATATGATATTAAAAGAAGTCGTTTTTTGTGGTTAGAAAAAAATGAGAGAATAGAGACCAAGTTAATAAAAAATATAAATTTGGGCATACAAGTAGATGGATCCACAGTGCTTGTAACTTTTGTTAAGCCAGAAGCTGTTTCTGGATCATCTGATTGCAGTCGATGCTCAGTTGATATGCTACACAAACCAAAAACAATGGATCATGTAATTGAAACCAGTATCAAATTTCACAAGATTGTCATAAGTAGCAGGCATAGAGGATGACTTAACAGATATACTGGAACATTCTTGGCAGAATGTTGTGTCTGAATTTCACATCACTCAGCTTGGGCACTTTGTAAAGTACTCTCTTCACAAGATAATTAACAGGGGGGAGGGGGCATTGATGTGCAAAATAAAAGTAATGGCCTAATCACATAATTAAACAAGTTATCATTTGGGTATCAAATAAAGATGCATGAAAAAGGAATACCAAAGACAATAATACGGAAACTAAAACTACATCCCTTTTAATTATTATGTAATACAAGTTCTAAGATATACTAACCAACATTCCCTGAAGAAATATATCTAAGCATGAAAGTATAATATAACTACATGATTGCACATAAGTGCAATAGCAATGAAGTGATAAAAAGAGAAATGAAAACAATGAGAAAGCCAATGCAGAAAATGATATTCAAAATTCACATTGAATTATGAACAATATTTATGATACCTGAAGATATGCAGATAGCAGTATTTAAAGCAATCACACGCCATAGAGAACAAAGAAAGCATACAATTTATAGCGTTTTGTTGGAGGTGGCGTCACACAGGCTGAGTAGTCTCTGTTCTCAGGACTCACTGCTTTTCCAACAATCATAGATGCCACATCTACAGTAGCAGAATTTCCTGAAGGACAAATGAAAGGAAGGAATCAAATATATTCAAACAGAATAACATGTGCATGTCTATTGCAACCATGAACCTGTCTGTTGAGGAAGCAGGATTAAAACATTACTCTTTTTAAGTATTTCAGATGCAATAGCATTTAAAAAAATACAAAAACCCTACTTGACTCAAGAATCACCACCGTTGCCCCAGCCATATGGGACTTTTCATAATGATGTGGGTTCAAATCCTTGAAAGGAAAAAATAAGTCAATCTAGCTAGCTCAGGTTCATTAATTCTATTACAAAAGCATCATACAACAGAACCTCCTTTTGAAGGAAAACCACTGGGATACAACTTGGGAGAAAAGGACTAGCTTTCAGATCATATATACCAAGTTACAATTCATTAACCCAATCTCAAGTACCAGCACTAGAGAATGCAATTGGTCTACTCAAGAGAGAGGAGGTTTCACCCAAAATTCTTGCAGCACATTGAGAAAGAGAGGAATGTCTGATTTCTCTCCTAAAAAAAGTAATTACTGGACTGTTTATCCTCTATTGCAAAAGAAATTTCACAACCTTTTACACGGATACAGACATCTGAAGGTATGAAACTACAATATAGTCTTCAAACAAATAATCGATTCCCCTCTGTAGTCAAAATGAGTGGTAGATATTCTACCAAATGACAATAATTCCAAGCAAAAGTAAGCACTGAACAAAGTAATCTTATTAGTTAATGCAAATGAGGAGTGTCAGGCAAGCACTGAGCCAAAGTTACATCAAAGGTTAACCATTAGACCCATATGGAAAAGAAAAGATGGAACACAAAATCTTTAGTCAAAGATGATAGGAACAAATCCAATTTTTAGTGAAATTTCAGGAAGGACTGACCACTAACCAGGATAGGTGCAACACAAAAAGGAAATTTTCCACAAGAATGAAACAAGATGCAGTCCACAGAAGTATAAATTCACATCAAGGCTTGTCACAGAACTCAGCAAGTCCATTTTTCCTAGTTTGAAGGTAAATCATTAAAGAAGAAAATATTAGGGCTGACTCAAAAGTTAAAATTAAGACACCAACAACAGACCTGACTCTAGAGGATGTAACACCATTCATATGCAAACTGAGAGACTTGTATCACTTAAAAACCTAACTTATCATTACTTGAAATGATTACTCATTAATTTTTTGATATAAAAGATTCAAGAGAAGATTAAATAAAGATATAAGAGCAAAAATGACTTACTTTTTGTATCCAGGGAGAAGGAAGAAGGCATTCTAGGAGGCCTGTCCAACTGAGATTCTGATGCAACAGTATCATCTGCAACTATATATTCAGAACTTTCTCGTTCCACAACTGGTGTGGCTTGGTCTAAACAAAGTTAAGAACTAAACCACTAGCCTGTATAAAAACAAAATAAAAGTAACATCCTTTGAAACAATGTGAAAATCTCAAAGCACCAAACATTGTTCAAATTTGTAACACTTAATGAGAAAAACCATTGCCTCTTTGCATTTCCCCAAGATTAAAAGTAACGGTAGTGTTGTAACAAAGCCATCTGAATCATCAACAAATAGGGATTTAAAATAGATTTTGGTGTCTCAAAATAAAATAGAGGATACTAGAATAGGCAGTTATTAACTTTTTCCTCTCCTTCCTTGGAGGTTTCCTGCGTCCTGTGCCACCATCAGGCTCCAAGGTCATTTCTTCTGCAGAATTTAAGAACCTACAAAGCTCTAAAAAGAAAAAAAAAAAAAAAGAAACCTAACTCAGTTAAGCACTTGCACTGCCAGACTTAAGGGTTGTACCTAACCATTGAAGGTAGGCTATCAATTAACCCGTAATACACATGTACAGTATGAAGAAACAGTTACTCCCAAAAGTACATATTCATGCCCTCAAGGTTAGACAACCAGTTGGCTAGCACCATCTGTTCCTCCAAGACCTTAAAGTTTGAACCAAAACACAATTACCTAGTTGACTAAAACTTATTTGGAAGAGATTGCAAATAAAAACCTATGCGGAGATTGTGATATTTCATCATTTGATTTAAAAAATCATGTTACACCCTGATTCAAGCACTCATTCAAGTAAAAGCATATAACAAAATCATTGTTATTGAAGTATCGATGAAAGCATCTGCAGGGACTCCAAAGGAAGTCCTGACTAGCATTTGTGCGAATCAAGCAATGTTGGTTTAAAAAAAAGGGATAAACAGTAATAATGCAGATGTCTAGGAGACAATGAAGCACTTAATGGTTCTAATTAAACACAAGCACTTGTCCACATCATTTCCAAACAAATATTTTGTCAACATCAATGTTCCTTGTGTTTTTCAACCACTTTAAAATGTTTATATTCATTGCATGGCGCTCTATTATTTGAAACATATGCCACATTAACACCAATTTTAATAAATGCCTGAAGAGTTATGAAAGAAAGAAAGGGAAAAGGAAAAAATTGAAAAAAGAAAACCTCAAAACCTGCATGGGCTGCATATTGGCTAGCCTTCACTGTCTTCTTACAAGCATTGCAACATACCTTCACAATGATATTGCAAAATTAGAAAAATAATTAAGAAATATCATAAGCACACCAATGGATTAACAGTACTTTGCATGTGAAAGGAAAATAAATGAGTTAGAATATTGTTTATACAACCAATAAAAAGCTCAACTTGTCAAACCTTACCAGGTCCAAAGGGTCAGTCATAGGCATCAAACCAAAAACACGCATATCTGCAAAAGGAAATGATCAAGCAACTAAAGAAACTCAATACCAAGAGAAAACAAAAAATTTGACTTAAATTTCAAAGAACATGACAACTAAGACTTGACAATGCAGGCTGGTCATGGACTGTACACATCCCTAATTTGTCAGTCCACATAGAAACTTTCCCGCATAAACATAGTGCTAGAAGATTACCTTCTTCATCAAGTAAATTTGGTTCTAGTAACTTAGATAACCGTTTACTCTAGTTCTTGAATTTTTATTCAAGTATTTATTATTAAATTATAGTCTTTTTAACCTGTAAGAGCTTACAAATTATACTATTTTTTTTTCTGCCTCGTGTAATTCTCTGCAAATATATTGAGTAGCTAATTTCTGTTGGCTATCCTCCTCTGCCAAAAAAATGGAGCTAACATGAATAGAAGAAACTTCAAGGGAAAAGAAAAGGCAAATGACATACCACCTATCATATAAATTAAATCCCATTTTACTTTTCAAAGTTAATTTCTATAGGCAATCTAAGAACGTAAACTTGCGTTAACACAAAAGTCTACACGGGCTCCAACGTTATCTTCATAGGAGCACATTATGGAATTATCGTCTTATCTATATATACCTGCATTATTTTGCAATAAACTTCCCGCGGCCAGAAGCCGAGCCATGACTGCCATTCTCCCATTTCCAATTGAGCATACCATTGATCCTCAAATGCAATTTCTGTATCTATACACTGCAATTAATAGCATATATTAGCTACCACCATTAAAATCATTAAACGTTTTCAAAGACACTGACTCATATCTACCTAAATTGCAAAAATCAACTCCAAAATCGCACAATCACAAGCTATAAAATAATCTAAAAACAAAACTAAATTTAGAGTGCAAAAAACACACATTGCAAGATCACACAAAATTTCCACTGACATGCAATTCAACAAATGCATGATAACTGAAATCATTCTTCCATAACGCACCGCAAAACCTCTACATGTCTAAAATCCACAACCCTAAACGAAACAAAAATCAGCGATTTTTCGTAAATTTATATAGCGAAACAAAAATCAGAGTTCTAACTCTAAACGAAAGAATAAAAAAAGGACACTCACCTCGAATCTGTACAAACAATTAACCGATGAGATCACCTTTAAAAGAAGAGAAATCGGCGATTTTTCTTTAATGTGTCTCGATAATGCAAGTACGGGTAATCGAGATTGGCTAAAGAAGAAGAGAAGATTGGATTTTTGAGAGTAGAAACCCTAGAGGGAGAGGGAGAGGGAATTTAAAGTTTTTTTTTTTAATTTGAAAAAACGCTCTTTATATTTTCTCTTGTTCTTCTTCTCTCTCCTCTCTGAGAGGAGGAGGAGAGAAGCTATGAATTTTGCAAAGCTAAAAATACGGAAAATCTTTTTTAAAAAAATTAATTTTTTGGATCGTATTTATTAATTCGATTTATTCTCGTCCTTTTTAATGGATAACTACATATAAGTCCCCAACTTATAGTATATCCATGAACAGTCGACAATGTTCACACTCGTTTTCTCATTCGTCCCTCTCTTAAAGAAAGGTAATGGTTGACACTGCAAGTTTGTGCATGATACCGAGCCTAGGCGCTAGAAGGAAGACTGGAAGTTGCTTCTCGAAAGACCACCATATAAGATGAGTACTAACTAGCACGATATAAATTGTTATATAAATTTAATTTAAAATCATAGTAACTGCTTGTTCATTATTAATTCTTTTAATCGATCTCCAATAGAATATTTTTTCCTGACAAAAGGATTTTTTTTCATCCGTTTAATGAATATTTTCAATCAAGTTGGTATTATTAATGCTTGAATTCTAATTTATTACATAACTTGTTATTCGCTTGGAACATGATGGTACATAATAAACTAAATTTAAAAAAAAAAATAGATTGAATAACTTGGTGAATTTGGACCTTGGTCTATGGTTATACCTCGATCCTATCACTAGAATCGATTAGCTTGGTGGATAGGTCACAAGACCCAACCCTCTTACCCGAAACTTAATATTTATCTTGATTTGTCCAATGTTGTCCTAACACATATCTTTATATATTTTTTAAGTTTCTAGAGTTGTTCGCACAAACTTTTCATGTGTAACAATCTTTTCTATATATGCAATGTTTTTTATGTCATTTTTCTTCGTCAATGGTTATTTACTAACATTAACCAACATCTTCATCAATGGTGAGTATGACATTTATCGTGGCGTGTGATTAATACTTAAAAATATATTTTTATCAAGTTTTATATCATTATTTTACACTTGAAGTATCAATAACTCCTTAACTAAAGCATGTTTTATAATAACATATCTAATAATATAAGATACCTTTAATTTATGGTAAATATTCA